TTTATACGCAATCGAAAAACAAGGAGGTAAAAATAGAAAATAATGATATAGTGATCGTTTCTAACTTTAGATGCGAGCACAACACCTGTGGTGATATGTGTGAACGTTGCTGTCCAGGATTTCTGCAGAAGAAGTGGCAACCAACAACCGCTCACAACAACTTCACCTGTGAACGTGAGTTCTATTTCCCAGCTAGGCCCTTGATTTACTGGAGCTGTGCTCTCATTAATGGTATAGCGGTGAAATAAAACCTAACCCAGAGGTTCAGGGAAACGGTACATTTTGATACAGTATGCTGCCGGCAGGCTGTGCTGCAAATGGAGGGAGTGGTACATCTCACTTACAAGCATAGCCATCCGGCAGCGCTGTAGGGCTGCGGTGCCTTCCAGGCCGTTCTTTCGGGAGGTGGACCCGTGGAACAAAGGCGAGCGATTACATGATTGGTGGATACTGTAGGAACTGTTTCTTGGACACTGTCCGTTTGCTGAGGAACCGCTTCGATTTTTATGGCGTTACAGAAAAGTTCTTCCATGCCAAACCAATCGATTCACTGTATATGGAATCTTGAATCAGGCTCGATATCTCTATGTCCTTTCTTCTATAGGAAAAAGTAAAATCCGAAGGAGGGTCGGAGTCTAATAATAGACTGGGCGATGTCTAGCCTGTGGTGCAGTTGCAAGCAAGGGAGTCCTGTAGGAAGTAAATGGGTATGGACAAAAGATTTATTGTTAACAGCCTTATTCCTTGTCTAGGTGGCACAAAATCTGGAACCGAGATCAGCCCCGCTTAAATAAACCCACTCCATGAATTTGAGCCTGAACCTGAACAGAAAAAGGTGAATTTGGGTGCATGGAAGGAGTTCGCAACCTATCATAATCGCTTAGACGCTTCCCATTTGGCTGCTCTAGTATCTGTTTCGTGACACAAACTCTGTCCCTGCAAGCTCCGTCCCACCCGCCAGATGGGGCAGGGGTCGAAGTGGGAGAAGCAATAGCACAAGGTCTTAGTTCAAATGAGAAATGCTGTGAATTCACTCACTCATTCAAAATGGAGGGGGGGGGGGAATCCCAAAGCTGTTACACAAGCTTCAAGACTTACTCATTGATGGTTTAGCTTGCAACTGTTTTGGACGTTCCGACGAATGTGTTTATGATGAAGATGTATTCGTGAACAGCCTCTCGCTTGACATTCATGGAAACTACGAAGGCGGTGGCCGTTGTCTTAATTGTCGAGTAAGTTTCGTCGAATTGTCCTTCACTGATCGCTAATTGATTTCATTCTTTCGCGCGTAATAAGGGTACCTGGTGTAGTTGGCAATGTATGAGAAAATAAAGTCTCGAAAGCTGATACTCTGTTCAGGACTTCACGGAAGGTGTCAACTGCAACAAGTGCGTGTTCGGTTACTATCGACAGGATGGCGTTCAGTGGAACGACACAATGCCGTGCAAACGTGGGTTCCTTTGCCTCCAAACAGTTGTGGAGTGCATGGCGTAGCCTATGCCAAGATGCCTTACCGAACTTCTTCATCCATGGCTTTTAATTAGGGGATCACTGAGTTTGAGGAGTTGCTTTTCACATCCCAATCACAGAATACATTTACACAGTTTATTTTTAGCGTGCAGATGCGACCCAAGCAAACACACAGGTGACTGCGAAGAAGGCACAGGCAAGTGCTACTGTCAGCCACGATTCCAAGGAGACAACTGTGATCAGTGCGCTCCTGGGTACTACGATCCACCTGAGTGTAAGAAGTGTGAATGTGCGGTGAGTGTCCGATGGACGGAAGTGTTTGGTATGGTTTAGGGCCGTCTTCAACTGACAATTTGCGAATTTCTGGCCTTAAATGGCGCAGAATATGGGTAATGACAGGCTTTAGAGGCGCTATCGGCAATTTACAGCATTTTCCCGGAGCTTATGCATCTTCTTAGGACTGAACCTAGGAGGAGGCGGAACTCCGTAAAAAGAAATTTGCTCACGCACTTTGGAGTTTCTCGCGCCTGTTTCTCCTCCGCTGCCTGAAGCTCAATCCCGTTTCTATCCAAAATCGGACGTTTAACCAGTTGAGGTGTCGTGGTTCCAAGTGCACTGTGTCACCACAATTCCCCGGTATCTTGCGATAGCGCCCATTTAGGTCCATAGTTGACGGTGAAAATTTTTCAGCCTGAGAACGGCCAGTGCCCGTGCAAACCTGGATTCGGCGGCACGTTCTGTGAGACATGCCAACCCGGCTTCACCAACGTCACAGCTGGCTGCAAAGGTAATTTTTGTCTTGCTTCAAAGGCCGCCGCTGCATTAAAAATAACAACAATCATAAATATTGGGACGTATACAAATCACAGAATGGCATTAAGCACCGTTGCGCTGGTGCGGTTACCGCTAATTAGTTTTTATGCTACAACGGTGACGAATCGCGTCATAAAAACCTCATCGGCTGGAACTCTTTTATGCTGATTTTGTTCAAGTTTTACTGTTAGTTGCAGCTACTTTTTGATATTTCCCATTAGTGATGCTCTCACACGAGTGTATAAATGAGTAAATAACAATAGAAATAAAAGTATATGTACTGGTAAAATAACAAAAGATATTAAGGAACATTCCCAATCTCTGTAGAGCAAAAGTATTCACATACAGCACAAGCTGCTTCAGCATATAGGGGTGCTTTTTCTCCTGATGTCGTGGGTGATCGCTGCCCAAATACTACCTGAAAATATTGATTGAAGTTCCTGTCTGAAGAGGGAGCGAAAAGCTTACTCAGATCACAGTACTGTAAAGAGCTGTGCTGTTTCAGAATGCGTGTGCGACGAGACCGGCTCTGCACACTCGAACTGCTCGGCCACGACTGGCACGTGCGTCTGTAAGGCCATCGTTCAGCGGCTTACACTGTGACAGCTGTCAGACTGGCTTCTATGGATTCCCGAACTGTACCTGTAAGTAGTGCTCAGATGACGAGTTTTCCACATTAATTGATTCTAGATCACTAAATAACCCTTCTAGTTTGCAACTGTGATCCGGGTTCGCGAACGGAAGTAGTTAGGCATAATGCGATCAGCACTCCGGGCAATGTATGTGCAAAGACGGCTTCGTTGGCGAGAAATGCGATCAGTGCGACATCGGCTACTATGGATATCCTAATTGTAAAGGTGGGTCTATTGCTTCAGTTTGTTGATTTGAACAGTCGTCAAAACCTTAAAGGCAAAGCCGGGGATCGGACCGGTGTGTGACTTTGCTTGCGCGTTACAGTGAAGATATGAAGTGTAACGCCAGCTGGAAAAACGGGAAGAAACCGTGGACAAGGCTGAAAATAAACCCTCTCTCCAGTAGCAGCAAAGCGAAATAGCACTGATTTGTGGGCGGGCTCAATGGTGTTGGGCGGGCCAATGCTGCATCCTAGGGCCTTAGCGCCTCGGCCTTGTCAAATCATCCGAAAGTTGTGGACGTGCTTTCCGCTTGGTACCGCTACACTTTCCTCGGGGGAAAGCTTAGCTTCGACCACATATCCCGTACCTTGCCTTTAATAAATCGTGCCCTTCACCCATGCCCGTGGACGGGGCGTGCCCCTGAGCTTTGAAGGCGTCATAGCCAATGTAAAAGTTCACAGGTCACACGCACTCTGGGACTCGTGTGACTCCTCACTCAATTCCGAGTTTCAGAGTATTTTTCGCTTTTCAGAATGCAACTGTATGGGAGCCGGTGCTAAAGCCCTGGAATGCGACGCGACGTCTGGCCAATGCCCGTGCTACGCCAACTTCACTGCCAGAACCTGCGACAAATGTGCCGTCGGGTTTTATGACTATCCCAACTGTAAAGTAAGTGATTTGCTACTAATAAAACTTTTTTGACTAGTTTTTCGGGTCATGTTTCTTTCTTTCAGGCGTGCAGCTGTCTAATCGATGGTGCTAAGGGACAGGCGTGTGATAGCAAGGGACAGTGTTACTGTAAAGGGAACTTCGAGGTACTGGCTAATTTCTCAACTGTGCGCAAGCTAGGCTTCCAAACATAAATGTGCGGTCTGGAAAATTCCCATTTAGGGAGAACGATGCGATCGATGCAAGCCGAACTTCTACAATTTCCCTGCCTGCGAGGAGTGCAATTGCCATCCAGCTGGAGTAACGCCAGATTTTGCAGGATGCGACAAGGTGCCTTCGCTTTCTAATCATTGCTTTTTCTACCGAAGTAATAATCCTAGATTACCGACCAAAAGCTAGAGAGCATTACGATTGGGCTTTGACTCGGGGTGGGGTAATTAACAAATCCTTCTATGCCAGAGAATCGAGAGAGATGAATCATTTTGTAGGGCAACCGGAAAAAGCCCCTTGTAGTAATTTGATGAATTCTTCTCCTTGACCATCAGAATGGAAACCTACATAGAATTATTTGAGAGTTAACTACCCTCCCCCAATTTTCAAAATTTCACTCCTGAATCGCAGAACTGTATAAATCAACCCACCACTATTTTCCCAACATGTTCCAGGTACAACCAGGAGAACTCTGTTCGTGCAGGAAGAATGTCGATGGTAGAATTTGTGATCAGTGTAAACCGACCTTCTGGGATCTGCAATACCATCATTCTGATGGATGCATTGTGTGGGTAAATTGGCAACTTTTGGGCCTCTCACACTTCGAGCTCATCTTCACCACAAAAAGTACACTTTGTAAGGTAGAATTGAAAAAAAAATATTTTCAGAGTGCGACTGTAATCTTGAACGGAAACTTTGGCGAGTGCTGTAAATACTGTTGATTGAATGAGTTTGTATATGCACAGAAACTGTGAAAGCTTATTGTTATGCCAGACACACAGACGCGATGCGTTCATCACACTATTTCAGCGACCCAGCAATAGACGGCTAACCATAACACTTCAAAGCTCTGTTGGTCATTGAGGGCGGCACGAATGTTTGCAAGGTCACCCGCTCGAGCGTTGGTCGGCGACGGAGTATGCCGCGTCCAGATTAATTGATTGGAGCGTTTGCTCTGTATAATAGCGATAAAGCCATACATGTACTGAAGTAGGTATGATAGCACGCGATCCCGGGAGGCATTAGAGCGCACAGGCCGCAATTGCCCCATCCTGCTGCGGCCGGGTATCCGTCCGTCAACTACTAGACTTCAGTAATTGATCGATCTGATAATTTGGGTCTCAAAATCTCGCTGAGTCCCAAAGATCTGAAAAAGGCTCCTGCTGGCCTGATGCCAAGCAAGAAGAACGGAACGGAATGTGACGAATGTCCGACCACAGCAGGATGTAGGTAATTACGGCCTGTGCGCTCCAATGAAAATGGGATCGCGCCATATGACGCACACCCCACGCGCTTGAATGAGTATGCACCATAGAAAACACTAAAATTTTACTTGTGTGGTCGGCCGTGGTATGACGGAGAGAGAAAGTGCTGGGAGGAGAGGCAAAATGCGAGATAGCGCGTGGTACGTGAGAAGGCATAGAGTTCAAACGCTACGTATGCCGCAACTGATGAGATGGCAGCGGTAACAGCGGTCATGAATGTATAGCCCCTCAATCAACAAGACATACTAGGTACGTAAAGTACAATATTAATTTAGGACGGGTCAATGCCTCTGCAAACGCAACGCCGCAGGACGGCAATGTGAAAAATGCGCTGATGGCTTCTATAACCTGGAGGGCTTCAACCAACTAGGTTGCGAACGTGAGTTTTCCATCCCGTTAATCACCCGGTCAGACTTTGTGGAACTTATTATCCCCAATGGTGAATTCTTTAGCATGTAATTGTGACATTGGCGGAGCACTGAGAGCAGATTGCGATGGTCAAACGGGCAGTGCAGATGTCGTCCACGGGTCACCGGATTGCGATGCGACAAGCCGATTGATAACCACTACTTCCCTACATTGTGGCATCATCAGGTATGAGATTACCTCTTCACGATTCGAGTCTGACCACCAAAAGTACCGCTTTATTTTAGTACGAAGCCGAGGACGGTCCACACAGATGATCAGCGGCCAGTACGTTTCGCAGTCGATGAGGCACAGTTCCCGTCGTACAGCTGGAGGGGCTATGCCGTCTTTTCACCGATTCAAGAGAAAATCAACATGGATATCGATGTTGCCAAGGTAGTACCAAAGGGAGGAGTGCTCGTCTTTCAGCATGTGTCTCAAATTCCGGGGTGGATTGCAAGGGGCATCCGTCTCGGCTGCTTTTTCGTACCAACAACCCAACCACGCAAAGCTGCCCATAACCGACTGTAGAGGGTTGCACAAAAAAAATGCACGCACACGCAGGGAGGGTAAGTACTTTGCGATTTGAGAAGAAAATCCGCAAGGCGTTCCTGGTGCAGAGACGGATGTGTATAAAGAGAAACCAGTGGAAAATTTTCTCTAATTGGTTTGGATGTTTGTAACGTTTCCCTCTCTTATTTTTACAGATTATCATGCAGGCGTGAAGAATGGCTTTGTGGTCGCTGCCGCCACACTTTCCTCCCCAGCAGTATCATAAGAAGTGACCGTAGGGCCAGGGATAAGGCCGTTTGTTGTTGAACCCGCTGGAGAGCGAAATGGATCGCGGGGGTGTCACACACAAGCAACGTCTATTTCTTGCTGTGTGTTGCTCGTGACAGTAAAGGAATTTCTGACAGAATCGCATTTTGAGATTCGACTTCTTTACAGGATTATATCGGGGTACTACCAGCCGATACTTACCTCTGGCACGATACTTGTGGATTAAAGAACGTGGCGGTCGCCACCTTATCGTTTTGAAGCAAATAATGCTCACAATTCGACTAGTGTGTTTAGATGCATTTGTATCCCACCAATTGGCTATTGCAGCCCAGGCGCCGAAATCCGAGCGCTTTTAGGGCGACACGGTTCAAGCGCGGAAAGTTGCAGATCGAAGGTACCACAGTTAGATCTTGGTAAGAGGGACGAGAATAGCCCCTGAAAAAAATTTTTTAGGCTTATCGTCTCGCCCACACAATATGTATTCGAAAGTCGTGTATGAGAACCTTAGAGATTTGAATCTTCTGCCATTACGCAACGCATGAAGGATGTGTTTAATCGGCCGGCGGACCGAAATCACAACAAAACTGGGATTCTCTTGGAGTTGTTTCGGTACCACATCAATTAGGCACTGCGCGGATTTGATTAGCTGGTTGCCCTGATTTATTCGTGAACCAATCCGCTGACCATCACACCCCGCCACACCCCCTTCTAACGATGGACATGCGATGTTTAAGAATAATTGGCTTGTAACGGGTGAGATTGAGTGAATACTTGTTTATTCGACTTTTTGCGCCTGGACCACTTTTCTTTTGGATGTTAAAGGGGCTATGAACGAGTTGCCGCTGCTTTACCATCGGGACCACATTTAGAATATCGAATAATATCTGTTTTTTTTAAAATCGGGATATGCGCTAGTTAAGACGAATACGTCTTGAGCCGAAAAACAGCCGCGTTGAGCCGACGTCACCAAGTTGCGACTATCCCGCGGTCTTTACTAATTGATCCCCTTTTTTCGATATGGCTACTGTTTCCCTTTAGTCCCAATAGAACATCTGCCCGAGATCATTGGCCCAGCGTCTTATGTTCAGACCGGAGACGACAACAAGGTTATTGAGGTATGTTGCTTTAGCCACTTACATAGTTACCTGTCGGATTTATGTGAGGGCTTATGAACTATGTAATTAATATTTAGGCAACTATTGAAGTACCGGAGGACTATGACTACGCAGTAGTCGTGGAATATCATAACCACAAGAAAACCCAACTGCCCATTACCGTCGAGCTGGTTCAGGAGGGAAATGTGAAACTGAACGGCAGTATAACTATCCATAGCTGTCCTTTTGCGTAAGTCTCATGAAAGGGTGCTAGAAGGCCAACCGTACTGAAAAAGCGCGATTTTTGCAGTACGTTCTGCCGTGAAGTGGTATCGGAAGGCGGTAAAGTGGCCACAATACCGTTGACTAAGGGACCGGCCACCGTTCAATTGCATGTGCCGCCGTCAGCTGACTTTGGCCTTGCTGCTATAAACCTCATCGCCAAGAATGAATGGAACAACGAGTATCTTCAACAGGTACTTGTGAATTAGAATTACATCATCGAGCTCAAATCGACGTCCAATAACCAGTAAATATATAGGTGCCGGTATGCGTGCGCAAGGATGGCCGATGTGTTCCTCAACAGTATCCACCTGCTGGAAATTCAATTGTGGCAGAGGCCGAAGCTGGTCAAGTCAGTTATATGCCTTGTTGGGTATTGCGCCAAAAAGGACTGTGACCTATAATTTTATCAATTAATCACTGGTTCAGGAGAATCCAATCTCTGGTGAGAAACTGCCATTCCCAATCGCAAATCCTAAAGATGTGGTCGTCATGCCGTTGGATGAGAGCCAGGTAAACGTAATTTTGACTATCTGAAGAGAATAATCCACGCTATCACCTCGAAATGATGCCTATGTACATAGTGTCGTGGGTATAGGAGCCATTTAGAGAGCAACCACATGCGCTGAATGAGCGTTTTGAATACGTGACCTGGCTCGGACGAGGGATTACGGTAATTACGATTGGGATGGGTTGGGTTGAGTTCATAGTGGCTGAATAATACCTCAGTGGCGATAAAAAGCAAAGAAATTTGTCAGGAACATGCAGAAGATTACTCCTTTCTTTGCCCGTTGACCTCCGATAGTGGACGAGCCAGCAACTAACTAAAGGGTCCGTTTGCACGTGTTAAACCGATAATTACCATACTGCTAGC